CAAGCACGTGATAAAGAGAAAGCAGATGTTGATTTTGTTGTTTGTTTAAAATTAAATTTTTGGCCACCTGATATTCAGCCGTTTTTGAAACGTTTACAAGCAAGGAGAGAGTCGTTTTATGAATTGATTAAAAATGAATATATGCATGTTGTACCGAAATGGTCAAAATTAACACCAGCTAGTAGTCAAGAATTCGAATTTCGTTATTCATTTTCAGCTATTGAATTAATTTTAGCTAAAAATCGTACACAAAAGGAACAAATTCTTAACGGTATTGCACGATCTATCTATTATAAATATTCATACAAACGAACAGAACTGACATCCTATTTTGTTAAGACAACTGTTTTATGGATGTGTGAGACATTGATGCCAAGCGCTGACCATCATTTAACTAATTCAACATTTGCACGTAGATGGATTGATTATGCTTGTCAATTACTACATTCAGGTGTATGTCCACATTATTTTCTTGAAAATATAAATCTATTTGAATCGTATACTAGACAACAATTAAACAATGCTTATGAAATATTAAAAACTGATGTTAATATTCATGATAATAGTATGTTAACAACAAGTGAACAATTAAAATATAATTTTGATTTTGATTCTGATTTTGAAGCAGATATTAGTGAAAAAGATGGTGCTGTTATAGATGGTTGTCAACGAATTGAGGAATTTGCTTCGAATTCAAATTCACAGTTAGAATTGAAAGAAGATTATAAAAAGTTAAAAAGAATTTGGCCACATCTTGATCAGAGAACATCAATAACAGATATGAATGAAGAGGATCATGAAATGTTTGCTGTTATCGAAATGTTTGTCATATTCTTCCTCCTATCATTAAGTGATGGTACTGATGAACAAAATTGGTTAAAATGGAAAAAATTATTTTTAGATTACAATGACCAGTGTACTTCACAAGAATCAATATGTGATGAAAACATCAGTAGTCAAACAATATGCCAATTTGCTATGGATTTAACTGCATCAATTAACTTAATCAAATCAACCTATGATAATTGTATCAAGCCAAAAGCAACGACAGAAAGTCTGTGGTCATTCCATCAAAATACAGCATCACCAATCGCTTTAAATCTTCGACAGTCTTACCAATGTTGTGTAAATCTTCTCAATGATGCTCTTAATTCGGATACACAATCGAATCGTATATTACCATTAATGAACAATATATTGCAATCATCACCAACAACAATTTTGGAAAATCATCCACAAGGACCTGTAGCAACACATGGATTGCATGAAACCGAACAATGGCTGAAATTATTTACAGAATTAGCATTTGATAGTGAACCAGTGAAGAGTATGTTACAACAAACAGGTTTGATAAATGAAGAAACAGATCAAACTATATCGTCAGCAAAAACAGCCGCTACAGCCTCTGTCGAAAGTCAAGTTTGTTCGATATCATAATCGTGGACTAAATTGTTTAGATGGTCGAAAACGCATTGATTCCTTTAAAACTTAGCGTGGCTCAAATAATTTCTCTAAGAAATGTTTTATTATTTCCTTTCCTAACTTTTTTAATTGTTTTGTTGACTTTCAATGGTTCAAAGCGCCTCACATCCTTGAATAGATATGTGGTTCCTAGATAAATTAAGTTGAGTAAGTGTATTGTTGACTTCTAGCTCCCCTACAAGGAGGCCAGCGGCTGGATTTGAAGCATTAAAGAGCGTTGTTTCATCAACGCAGTTGCCTTTCAGAGACAGTGTCAATGCGATAGTTGTGGTATACTGGACAAGTGTGGCTGCACCACTTTGACCATTTGTTCTACATTGATGATACACAATGATAAGTAGAGAAGATTTGTTAGTGTGTTGTCGAACAAGCCCTTGAAGAACAGGTCGCTGTAGTTGCAAGTCTCTTGTGATAAACACAGAGAACGAACTTGTGCTGTTGATCGAAAGTGTTCACAGACAAAGTCACATCTAAATTCACTGTTGCGGTGAAAGTTCAAGTCAAATTGAAGACTACCTAGTACTCGATCGAACGGTTGTTTAGTCCGACGAATGAGTGGAGAATATCATAAACACTCAAATACTGGAAGATTTCAAGAATCAGTCCATTCGAAAGCCATTGGAACTGTAGCACTTCTAAACAAATGTGTATTCTCCTTCTCTACTATTATTTGAAGAGAAGCTTTCAAGGAGAGAGAAAGCGGAGTCCATGCTCTTACTGCTTGCTCAGTTTAAGGAAGCCCGTCCAAACCCTCCCCAAATCGATTTTCGATACAATGCATGAGATTTCCATGAAACTTTCCACAGAGGTATGATTAACTGTGTAAAAACTGAGATTTTCGAATCTAACGATTTATCTTCCGAGTTTAGTGGAAAAGCATATATGAAAACTACACAATAAATGATGCAATATGGTACCGTCTAGTTTATGCTTTTATCGTCATTTCATTTTTGCCAAGGCGATAACGTTGAGCAGTATAAAATTTCGTTCCTGCCTTTTCTATAGTATATTTCCTTTTCTTTTTTCAGCTATTATAGCTTGACAGTCTTTGCCTAACGTATTATAAACTTTCCTTTGACGTTCATCTAGTGTATTATAGTTGTTTACTCTGGGGTAGTGCAGTTATATATATATATATATATATATATATATATGTTAGCGTCCAAACTGAGATTACGTCCAATCTCAGATTGGCCCAGGAGAACATCGCGTCCGAGACTGGACGCGTCCATACTCGGATCCGACATTGGATGGACATTTATTCAGGCCATTCTCGGATAAAACATAGAACACACGTCCATTCTAAGATTGGACTGAAATAGTCAGATGAATTTAAGATTGGACTAGTGTATTGTCAGCCTGAAAGATAAGTGCGGCGAATCTCGGATGGGCCTAGACCAATGTCGGAATGAATACACACTACTCAGAACTCGATGTCAAAGATCATGTTCGAAAGTTATACCCCTATCAAGCAAGTGAGATTTGAGCATAGTGAAACAACAAAATAGAGTGAACACAAACACTAGACAAAAACCAATACAGGTAAATGTTGTTAATGTTCTGGATTTTCGCAACATATTGCATCATCTTCAGCAATCTCTATTTTTTCGTGTATTCTATGTTTTATCCGAGAATGATCTGAATAATACATTTTTTCTTGTGAGCGAAAGATGTTATATTTATTTTAATAAAGGTGATGTCAGCTCTCCTGTCTACCGGTGAGGTTAAATGATCGAGAAATTCTAGAAACTAGGTCTAGGCAGGCCCGTTATCACTCAGGATTAGGCATGCACCGATTTCGATTATTCGAAATCGAACATAATCGAACTTCGATTATTCGAAATCGAAAATATTCGAACCTTCGATTATTCGAAATCGAAAATAATCGAACCTTTTTTCTGTTTCTGGCAAAATACTAGAGCGA